TAACGGTCTGGGATTCTGGGATTCTGTGATGGGGGCAAACCAAAGAGAAGCCCACGCAGACCTTACGCACCAGGACGTGAGCAAAAGGGTCATTTTTGGTGGCCTCCATCAAACAGGACCAATTCAAAGGGAAGCAAAGGGAATGATTTTGCTATACACACCTGTAGGGTTCTGCACAAAACCTCCGGGATTTGGCAAATACTGCTGACCTTGGCTGTAAGGCCCTGGTTGTGCAGACATGAGAGAAACCTGTGAAAGGAAAAACAGCAGCGGTTTTTTTACTTAGTAACACCATTATAAACTTCCTTTTTCATTTTAGCATTAATTTCTCAAGAATTTCATGTCTATTAAGCTCCTTCCACGAGCGACCCAAGGCAGTTTGGGCCCACACGAATCCCCCTTCGTGAATTTTAAGGCCTTAATTCAACAACGTCCGCGTCTTTCTCAATTCTTTCAAGTTAAGGCTCTTTAAACCTGGCTCATCACCTGCTGCAAAACAGACAACTGAATTATTTTGAGCCATCTGAACTCTATGCCTTGCAGGAAAATTAATTGCGTATTCATTTTACATCAGCTTCTATAATTTATATGCAACCGTGTGTGAGTTTATCTGCACCGGACCTCAAATTACCTCAATTTTCACGTTTAAAATACTCATTTCACCGTCGTATTTTGAGCTACAAAGCGATGGTAATTGTTAAAAGAAGCAGCAACGTGCGTCCTTATTAAATCAGCTGGGAGCTGCTGAAGGAGGATGACTTTTTCTGCTTGAAATTTGGGTGCTCTGTTCAGGAAAACCTTTAATTTTCAGACTGAAAACTGCCAAATTCTCTACAGAAAACTACACCTGAAACATTTAACGCAGCCCAATTCTCACCTGGTTATTTCCCACGGGCAGATTATTGAAGCTCCCGTATTGAGGACCCTGAAGTCCTTTTTCATCAAAGTAATGTCCTGCTGTTCTCAACGGGAAATTTTGTGCTCCTGGGCCCGCCGGCCCGTTGAAATTTGGTCCGGGTGAACCATCGAAGAGGTCAGGCCTCTGGAACTGCATCCCGTGCGAGGGGCCGTTGTAACCCTGGCCTGGATGATCGACGAAGGGAGCGCCTTGGGCGTACATTTCCAGTCTTGAGGCAGGATGGTTGGCTACATTTTCGAAGCGTGCACCTTGGAGGCCCAGGGGTAAGTCAAATCTTGAGGCTGGTTGGTGAGGTCCATCGAATCTTTGAGGTATGGCTGTGTCAAATCGTGCTTGAGCTTGTTGACCGGGAGCCCTTTCGAATCTGGGCCCGGGTTGCCCGTGAATTCCGTCGAATCTTTGCAAAAGAGGCAGCTGCCCTGGTTGGCCATCGAATCCGGCTGCGTGGCAACCGTCAAATCTCGGACCGGCTCGACCCAGAGGGCCATCGAATCGAAGTCCACCAGCTCCCTGGTGTACAGGGCCATCCAACAGCCTAGGACCTACACCCGGTTGCCCATGTGGTCCTTCCAATCTCAGTCCACCGCCCGACGGTCCGTGCGGCCCCTCGAATCTGAGCCCGCCACCTGATGGCCCGTGTGGCCCCATAGGTTGACCGTGCGGTCCCTCAAATCTGAGGCCACCTCCAGGTTGACCATGGGGCCCCAATGGCTGTAAATGTGGCCCCTCAAACCTGAGACCACCCCCTGGTTGACCATGAGGCCCCAAGGGCTGACCATGGGGTCCCTCAAACCTGAGACCACCCCCTGGTTGACCTCGAGGCCCCATAGGTTGACCATGAGGTCCCTCAAACCTGAGACCACCTGAAGGCTGCCCACGGGGACCCTCAAACCTGAGACCGACTCCAGGTCCTTCAAATCTAGGACCACCTACGGGCTGGCCCGCAGGCCCCTCGAACCGCAAAGGCCCAAGAGGTCCCTCAAACCTCAGAGGGCCTCCTCCACCAACCTGTCCCGGGGGTCCTTCAAACCTCAGAGCTCCTGCCAGCTGCCCCGGTGGCCCATCAAACCGTAGGGCCGCAGCTCCCCCTGCTCCTGCCAGCGGTCCATCGAACTGGGATGCAGCCGCCCCTACCAAAGGCCCCTCAAATCTCATAGCGGCCTGGCCAGGGGGTCCATCAATCCTGGAACCGGAGCCAGCAGCAGGACCATCCACAAAAGGACCTCCTTGGCCATCTACCCCCACTCTCGCAGCAGTCGGTCTCGGGGAGCCATCAAAGAGAGGTCTGTCTTCCATCAGAGCACTTATCCTCTGCTTCGCTTCGATGCCTCCGAATCTCGAGCCCGGACTATCCGGAAAAGGCGCTTTGTCCGCATCTTCGTACCTAGGTCTTTTGAAACGTTCGTTGAACGGTGACCTGGGTTCCTCCCGAACCCCTAAAATCAAAAAAAAAAAACCCCCACGGCAGATCAGCTAACTGCTATTTGAAACGCCACCGGTTATTTAAAGAGCTTATTTAAAAGCGAAAACACCTACCAGCTTGCCCAAGGAGCTGCCTTTCTTCCCTGTTATCGAACCTGCAGATCGCATCGCCGTCTATTTTCTTCTGAAAGTCCGTCGTGTTTTTCCCCTGTTGTCTCAGGGCGTCTCTGAATTCATCCGACTCTCCCCAGCCGTCGTAAGGATCGAAATTCTTCGAACCTCGGGCTCCTTTCGCCGCGTTGGGTTCCTCGAGCCTCCGTCTGCCCTCGAGCGGCGAGAGGTTATCGGGGAAAGGCCTCTTGGTGCCGCTTACGGGCGAGTGTCTCCGGGTTCTCTCTCCAAACGGTTCTTTCCTATCGAATTGGACTCCGCGTTTGGCTTTCGTTTGTTCGCATTCTATGCCCGAAAGCAACGCGTCGGGCAGGTGATAATCCAAAAGATCGTCGGGATCCAACAGGTCGAGCCTGGACAACGAATGCTGAACCTGAGTCCTTTTCAGTTTCGCCTTGTGTTCGTAATAAGTCAGCTCCGCGTCCGACAGGAGGGGTTTCTTTTTCAAACCGCATTTCTCCTCCGTGGGGCTGTCCCAGACGTTACATCTGTGCTTTCCTTCCTGATACTGGAACAGCTGCCGGATCTGATGAGCCACCATCAGGAACTCATCTTGGGTGATTTCACCCGATGTCAAACGCTCGTTAGCCTGGAAAGTAAAATGACAAGTTTAGCCTCCTCAAAAAGCAAAGCAAGCGACGTCCAGGGCACTTTTAGGAAGATAAATTTATTGCTGTTACCTTTTTAAGTAATTCCCTCTTGCTCGCAGACGTCAGCTCTTTGGGAATCTGCAAGTTTGCATCCACGCTCAACCGGTGCTGCTGCTTCGGCGCTCGGGGCGATAAAATCCCTTTACCCGCAGGCCAGTTCTCCCGGTGCCTTTGGTGAGGGGATTTACCGAGTGCTTGGTGCTCTTCGTTCTGCTGCGAGCTGAAAACGCATGGGAAAAACACAGATTACTTCTTCATTCGGGACACGGCTGTTTTGGGGCCAGTCCTGTTGAACAACTTTATCACTGATCTGGATGAGGGGATCGAGTGCTCCCTCAGTAAATTTGCAGATGATGCTGAGTTGGTGACAATGTTGACCTGTTAAGGGTAGGGAGGCTCTGCAGAGGGACCTGGA